ATCCATATCTCATAGTTGTTTTAATTTGCGTTTTTCTTATGGCTAATGATGTGGGCAAGTCAATTTTTTATTTTTGTAAGCTAGCAGAGTACTGTAGATTTTAGCAATGAGGCCTTTGTCTAATGTGTCATTGCTAAAGATGTTTTCCCAGTCCCAGGCTCTCTTATTATTCTCTTGGTGAATTCTTTTGATGTACACAGGTGTTTAATCTTCAGTATATCCCATTTGTCAATTTGTGCCTCCTCTGTGTTTGTGTCCTTCCCTATTTCTGATAGCCTATGAATTCCCTGTGTCAAAGTTCTCAAGTTGGTCCCAATTCCCTCATTGACGGCCCTAATAGTTTGGGGCTTTACCTCAAGGTCTGTGACCCATCTTGAGTTTATTGTTGTGCATGGAGTGAGATTAAGGGTCTTGCTTCATTTTTCTGCAGGTAGATATCCATTTTTTTTCAATGCCACTTGTTGAAGAGGGCATCCGCTTCCCATTTGATATTTTTTGTGACTTTATTAAAAATTGGTTGTCTCTATGCTGATGATTTTCTTTCTGGGTTTTCAGTTTTTTTCTATTGTCTGAGTATCTATAATTATACCAATACCACACTGTTTTGGCCACTGTGGCTGTATAATAGGTGTTAAAGTCAGGTAAAGCAAACCCTCCCACTCTGTCCTTCTTCTTGAGAAGTTCACTGCTAATTCAGGGCTTCTTGCCTCTCCATATGAAGTTGGTAATCATTTTTTCCAATTCTATGAAGAAAGATGATGGGATTTATATCGGGATACCATTAAACTTACATAGTTCCTTGGGCAGAACTGATATTTTTATTATATTGCATCTTCTGATCAACGAGCATGGGATGTTATTCCATGTATTGAGGTCACTCTTGGTTCCTTGTAATAGTTTTCTCTAGTTTTTCTTGTACAAATCTTTTGTTTTCTTAGCTAGGTATATCCCTAGATATTTCAATTTGTGCTTGGCTATTGTGAAGGGTACAGCCTTTTTGATCCCCTCTTCTGCAGTCTTCTCTGATGTGTATAACAGTCTGATAGACTTCTGTTTGTTGATCTTGTATCCTGTCACTCTGTCACATTCCTCTATTGGCTCCAGTTCTCCCCTTGTGGAGTTTTGTGATTTTACCTATATGTAATCATATCATCTGAGAAGAATGATAGTTTCACCACTTCCTTCCTCAGGCGAGTACCTTTGATGTCTTTTGTTTGCATATGCTGTTAGCTAGGACCTCCAGTGTGATGTTAAATAAGAGTGTGGACAGGGGCATCCTGGTCTGGTATCCTTTGTCAGTGGGATTGTTTTAGTCTTTTCTCCATTGACTACCACATTGGCTGTTGTTTTTTCCTTCCATTTCTATCTTCTTGAGTGCCTTAAACAGGAATTGGTGTTGGATGTTGTTGAATGCTTTTTCCACATCTATAAATATTATCATGTGGTTCTTAAAAATTTTATCTCAATGTGGTGAATAATACTAATGGTCTTTCATATGTTGCACCATCCCTGGTATGAATCCCACTTGGTCTTGGTGAATTATTTGTTTTATAGACGTTTGTATTCTATTGATCAGTGTCCTGTTAAGGATTTATGCATCAATATTCATGAGGGATATTGCTTTGTAGTTCTTGATTCCTGTGGGACACCTGCCCTGTTTCCGTATTAGAGTTCTACTAGCGTCATAAAAAGTTTGTGAGTTTTCCATTTTTTTCTATGTTCTGGAAGAGTTTGTGTAGGATTGGTATTAGTTCTCCCCTAAATGCTTGGTAGAATTATCCAGTGAAGCCATCTGTCCAGGGGATTTTTTTGTTGGTAATCCCTTGATAACCTTGTTTATTTCTTCTATTGCTATGGGTCTGTTAAGATTCTTGACATCCATCTGGGATACTCGAGGGAGGGATTGTTTGTCCAACTATTTGTCCATGTCTTCCAAGTTGTTGAATTCATTGGAGTACAGTCCTTCATAGTACTGTGTAATTATCCTTTTGATTTCATTAGGGTCCCTTGTAATGTCCCCTATTTCATCCCTCATCCTTGCTATTGAAATCTGTTCCTTCCTTTCTTTGGTTAGGTGTGTCAGTGGTCTGTCAATTCTGTTAATCCTGTTAAAGAACCAACTTTTAGCAGCATGATTTTCCCCACCCCCATAATTTTCTTGTTTTCCCTCTCATGAATCTCAGTCCTGATTTTTATTATTTCTTTTATTTTGCTATTAGTAGGATTGTCTTGTTGACTCTGCTCTGATTGCTGTAAATTTTGTGTCAGAATATCAGTCATAAATCTCTCTTCCTGTTTCATTTGTGCATGTATTGCTATCAAACATTCTCTAATAACTGCCTTTGCTTTGTCCCAAAAGTATTGGTCCGTCATATTCTCATTCTCATTCTCATTGGTTTCTAGAAACTTCCTGATGTCATTTCTGATTAGGGCCAGTACCCACTGCTTTTGCAATAGAGAATTATTCATCTTCCAATTGTTTGCCCTTGTTTTCTTAATCATCCTTTTGTCTGTTTTTTCAGCCTGATGGTATTGTGATCAGAAAATGGACTCTGTATGATCATATGGAATATGTTACTCCACTCCCCCTTCTTCTTCCTTGTGTCTGCTAATAAGTCGCAGCATATTCTTATTTGGGTACCTGTATAGGTGACTGCTTGTTTTTCCCTAGCTGCTCTCACAACTTTCTCCTTTTCCTCAAAGTTAGTGTAACTATTAGATGCCTTGGTGATTTTTTCTTGGGCTTCAGTCTATCTGGTGTTCTTTCAGCCTCCTGAATGGTTGCCTTATTTTCATTCATTAAGCTGGGGAAGTTTTCCTCTAAGAATTTCCTCACTATTTTTGCCATTGATCTCTTTTATTGTGTCTTGTTCAAGTAGTCCAATTATTCTAAGGTTGTTCCTCTTCATAACATCACATAGCTCTCAGGTTTTCTTTACCTCCTCTGATTATCTTATTTGACTGCGTTTCCCATTTGTTGATGTCTGCCTGGTTATCCTCTAGCTCACTGATGCGATTCTCTGCCTCCTAAAATCTGTTGCCGAAGTCTGTCAACTTGCTACTGGTTTTTGTTATCTTGTCCCTTAGGTCTTGTATTTCCCTGTGGTGCATGGCCTTTACCTCCTCTATTATTTCAACCTTTTTCTGTATTGCTTCCCTCATATCCTGCATGACTCTAAGCAGCATTGTGAAGATTTATTTCTGTAGCAGATCAATGTCTGCTTCTTCTGTGCATGTTGTTAGGTTCAAGACTTCTTCCGACATTGCCTTTTGTTTCTTTGTTTGTTTAGGTTGTTGGGGCTGGGTGCTGTTTGCATTGCGTTTTTTTAGAGGAGCCCGGTGCCATTCTCCAGACAGTCAAAGAGCACTGGGCTCTTTCTTTGACAGACTCTTAGAATGCTTCTTTGACCTGCCTGCAGCTAATTTAGCTGTGAAGTCAAGCTACCGATTTATCCTCCTGTGGTTTCACTCTTTCCCGAACCAACCAGTATTGTTATTTGAAGGGAAAATTGGATGGTCCTCTCAGGGGATGCTGGTTGATAGTTGTGGATGCACGAGGATAGCACTACACTGGACGATCTCACAAGAAGCCATAGTGGTGTGGCCCACATGACTTGGGTGCCTCAGAGTGCATGTCTTGGTGTTTGCTGCAATGGGAGTGCCACAGAGGGCAGGTGGGTGTTCCTGCTTTGATGTAGAGCACCTTGGATGGTGGGTGGAATTGCCCTAGTTGGCTAGATTGCCACGTATGTCAGGCAGAGGTTCCCGCAGCAGTGTGAATCACTGGAGGGTGTTTGCGGAGCTGCCTTAAGCTGTGGGAGGGACTATGGCAGGCAGGAGGAAGTTTCCTCAGCTACATGGGACTGTGGAGGTTGGGCAGGGGCTCACCCAGCCATGTAGAGCACTGTGGAAGGCAGGAAGAGGTTTCCCAACCATGTGGGGCACCCTAAAGAGTGGGCAAGATATCCCCAGCCACTTAAAGGGGTTTGGAGGGTAGGTGTGACTTCCCCTGCAGCAGAAGACAGGTGGAATTTCCCAGCCACATGTTAAACCACACAGGTTAGAGCTCCCCCAGCTGGGTGGAAGGCCAGCATAAATGCCCTAGGCAAAGGGAAATGGCCTGGAGGCTAGCAGTGGCATGTGAGAGAAAAGAAAAGAGAAAAAATAAACAGCCTGCTGAGACTGTGGGGGGAAACATGGAAGAGAGAGAAACAAATGTAAAGATAAAGCTGAGCCCTGATCGCATGACTATGGGCCTGGAGGGGTTTGAACCCTGCCCAGAGGCAGCAGCAAGCTGTGGCTGTGTTGAAGTAAAGCTCTTGGGCCTTCCAAAGTAGCCTGACTCTGGCCAAGTTTGTGCTGGGGTTAGGTTAAGCCTTAGCTGGCCTCCACAGTGCTAAGCCAAAAGCACACAGCTCCTCAAAACCTAGTGTATCTGTGTCTACTTATCTTTATGATGCTCCTCCTGTGACCTGGAAGCTTGGAATTTCCCTCTCGGTTGCTCTCCTTTACTGATTTCTGCGGAGTCCCTCTGGTATATGTTACTCAGTCACCATCTTGCCAGAAGTCCCCAGGATAACTTTCTAAAATATTAAAAGTATTTATTATCTTGATTCTGTACCCAACCAATCTTATTTATAGCCCCATTGTAGAGCTAAAGGAAATGAGAAATAGGGATTGTAGGTTATTTGGTTACTTTAAGTTACTAATAGCCTTGCATCTATGAGAGGCTCAAATGAAAGGATCTTTAGTTTACTTCTAGTCCTAGGAAAGTACAGCTTTATAAAGCCATCACTTTCCAATCTAATCAACTTTTAAAAAATTTCTTTTGACTCCCATTTTTATTGCCATTCCTAATCTACTCAGGTGTCCACATTTCTTTGTCCAAATATATTCTTTTGATATTTAAGAGACTATTTTAACAGAAACTTTTCTTGACTGTTGTAGAATCTCATCTCTGTCTTAATTCTCAGTGTGTTTCCCCACCTATTGTTTTCCAGGCAAGCAAAGGTCGAACCACGATTGTGGTAGCGCACCGGCTGTCTACTGTTAGAAATGCAGATCTGATCGTGGCCATGAAAGATGGGAGGGTAGTGGAAAAAGGAACACATGCCGACCTCATGGCAAAAGAAGGCCTGTATTATTCACTTGCAATGTCACAGGTAAGTTTGGCATGATGCTGCTGCTACACTTTGGGGGGTTGTTAAGAGATCGTATCATACTAGAAAGTGCCAATGCTGAATTGCATTCCAATTTGAAAAAGCAATCAGGGTTCACTTATATTTCCTTAGGTAAAGAATAATTTTTAAATGTACCAAATATCCTCCACCCAGTGCTAGATAATATGGTGACAATTAAAGATCTAAGGGGTACCTACACCTAATCATTGCCAGGCAACAGTAAGCCTCAAAGCTTGTATGCAGCAGATCTAGGACTGTATATGTCTGTATATGATGATCTTTTGTTTACAACACAAAGAAACCCAATCCCCAGTTACAGATTTAAAACTCACAAAAGCAAAATGCAAACTCGAGCCAATCTCGCTCCCATTACCATGACTTGAATTCGATCTTGCAAGTCTGGCTAGACCAGAGGAGGTACACTGGTACAGATAGGAACTGAAAATACAGGGAATCCAGGACGGATGAGCCCTATAGGACCAGTGGTGTGAATGGCAAAACAGGGAGGGTAAAGGGAGAATGGGTAGGAAAGAGGGAACCAATTACATGGAACTGTGTGTGACCTCCTCCCTGGGGGACAGACAACTGAAAAGTGGATGAAGGGAGACATCGGACAGGGCAAGATATGACAAAATACCCATTTATAAACTATCAAGGGCTCATGCGGGAGGGGGGAGCGGGGAGGGAGGGGAAAAATGAGGACCTAATGTCGGGGGTATAAATGGAGAGAAAATGTTTTGAGAAACGATGTACAAATGCGCTTTACACAATTGATGTGTGTATGGATTGGGATAACAGTTGTATGAGCCCCTAATAAAATGTTAAAAAATTAAAAAAAATAAAATGCAAAAAAAAAAAGAAGTACAAATGATGGGAGTGATGATGGGAAGACTCTGGATTGCTTGGAAGCGGGTTTGAGGGCTACAAGGCAGGAGTTTCAGATGGAAGGAGAGTCCAGCCAGGGAAAACAGCAACATGGAAAGAAGAAGAAACTTGACATGCAATTGAAAGAAAGAGGAACCCCACCTTCTGTGAGGAAAGACGAATGTTAGGGAAAGAATTAAGGATCATACAGTGGATATTCTTAAAACCAGGCAGAAAAGTTGACACTTAACATGTAGGATACAGCCAACACAGAGCCTGGCATACTGTGGAGGCTCAGTAAATATCTGGTGACTGAAGGATGCCCAAGTAAATCCCTACCTGTATGCATATTGCTTCCTCTCAGGTAGGCCCACGTGAGATCCGTATACTTTCATAATAATGCTGTAGGGACACTGACAAATTCTCAGTTGTTGGGACTCCTATTTTTCCACATACCATGCCATTTATCCTGCTTGATTTCATGCCCTTTGTTATAGGCCACATTAATGCATGTGAATGGCCTTCACCAATGCTATATTCTTCATTCTTCTTTCTTAGCCTAGGAGATTGCCTGCTTTCCAAGATCATTCACAGATAAGTCATCCTAGACCCTTTCTTGATTTTACTTCTTATCCTCCAGTTTATAGATTTGCTATCAATACTATTGTCCTTGGAGCCTTAATATGGTATACAAGATTAAGGACACACCTAATAACTGGAAGGTTAGCGGTTCAAATCCTCCCAGGGGTACCTCTAAAGCTGGACCTGTAGATCTGCTTGCTAAAGGTCCCCGCCTGGAACAAACAACAACGCCCATGCCCTGCTGCCCCAAGCACTTCTTCTGTGCCTACGTGGGTGGTCATGAGGTGGGATGGGCTCAGTGGTAACTAACAAGAGCAACAATAGTATCAAGGTTCCCTACAAATTAAAAATTTTAGAAAGTTTTGAGCCTCCAGCTCCTCAATTTTATAATGCCAAATTTCAAAACTGCTTTCTTCACCTACAATAAGTCAAATATTTCTGAACATTCTCCATGAAGCAAAGATGGTGGGGGAATAAAGGGAACTACAAACATGTGATATTCGATTGGAAAACTGCCGGATGCTGATTTTATATCACAACCCTTCCAGGGTGTGTGTTTGCCTAAAGCAGAAAAGATATCATTTGACTCTTGAGTTTGCATGATGTTCATTCCTGTAAGTAAAATAGACTTAATACTTTATGATGTAATAAGTTTCAAGAATTTCAAACTCATCTGAGTAATAACAAAGGGAAAAAACTGCCATCCAATTAACTCTGTCTTAAGATTAATTAAAAACTACTACACTCATATCTTTCTTTAGGTTGATGTGCCTTCATTTTAGTCATTAAAACTAAACAGAGATAGACCAATACAACTATGCTTAAAAACTAAACAAAGATCCATTATTAGTTCTTAAAAGGTATCATTGGCCAGACAAATTAAAAAATGATGTATTTGTGGTATAAAGGCATAGACACTTGAACACATCTTTTTTTTTTTTAATACTTTTATTGGGGGCTCTTACATCTCTTATCACAATCCATACATTCCTCCAATGTGTCAAGCACATTTGCACATATGCCGCCATCATCATTTTCAAAGCATTATCTTCCCACTTGAGCTCCTGATATCAGCTCCCCATTTCTTACCCCTCCCTTCCCTACCCACCCTCCCTCATGATCCCTTGATAAGTTATAGATTATTATTTTCATGTCTTGCATCATCCACGGTCGCCCCCTCAACCACTTTTCCATTATTCATCCCCCTGGGAGGGGTTCTAGTTTGATCCTTGTGGTCAATTCCCCCTTCTCCCCCGACCTGCCCCTAATCCTCCTGGTATCTCTAACCTCCTTTTTGGTCCTGAGGGGTTTAGTTATCCTGGATTCCCTGTGTTGCAGGCTCTTATCTGTAGCAGTGTGCATGCTCTGGTCTAATCTGATTTGTAAGGTAGAATTGAGGTCATGACAGTGGGGTGAAGGAACACCAAAGAAGTAGAGGAAAGTTGTGTGTTTCATTGGTGCTATACTGCACCCTGACTGGCTCATTTCTTCCCTGTGACCCCTCTCTGAGGGGATGTCCAATTGTCTACAGATGGGCATTGGGTCCACTCCATGCCCACCCACCCCCATTCACCTTGGGCATGGTTTTATTCTGAGTCTTAGATGCATGATACTGATCCCATCAACACTTCATGAACACAAAGATTGTGTGCTTTTTCCATGTGGGCTTTGTTGCTTCTAAGCTAGATGGCCGCTTGTTTATCTTCAAGCCTTTAAGACCTCAGATGCTATATCTTTTGATAGCCAGGCACCATCAACTTTCTTTTCCATATTTTCACCCATTTTGTCTTCAGCGATTGTGCTGGGAAGGTGAGCATCACAGAATGCTGATTATTACAACAAAGTTTTCTTGTGTTTAAGGACTACTTGAGTTGAGGCCCAATATCCATCTGCAACCTTAATTCTTACCATACAGATAGGAGTACATAGATCTATTCCCCTCTCATTTTATACATATTTACATATATGTACATGCCTGTATTTAAGCCTCCATAAATGTCCTTTGCCTCCTAGTTCTTTCCTCTATTTCATTTTTACATCCCTCTTGACACATCCTTTTTCTTCAAAGTGGATTTGTATAATCTGATTACCTAAATGAATATACTTAGTATTCAAATAACACCTACAGTGTTGTAGCCAGTCTGTAACAACCCTCACGTGGTGGGCAGTTAGAACCCACCCAGAGGCACTGCTGGAAAATGGCCTGGAGACATGCTTCCCAAGGTCACAGAAAACCATCTGGAGCAGTTCTGCTCTGGACACATGGCACGGCCCTGAGTCGGAGTCCACTCAATGGCAACGAGCACCACCAACCAAAGTTCTCCATGAATTGAAACTTGCTATGGCTGTTGCTTTGCCTAACATCCTTCTACAGAAAGGGAATGATCTTTGGCCTGTTCAATCAACTTCTTAGTAATTTTTTTTATAAAAAAAGTCCAACTGTTATCTTAAACTTATCCCAAAGTAATAGTTTCTGAGTGGGGGGTGGAGGGGTGGGAGAGGCCTAATCAAAGACTTATCATTGGTGGGGAAATGTCTAGAAAAAAGAGAGTGAGAGCTAAAGGAATTTCAGATTAAAGACGTTGGGTAGTGCGTGGCTGGTTAAAGTTCATTGTGCTTTTCCATGACGGATTAACATTTGTCAAGCTTGTCGAAGAATTGCAGTATTCCTGGAAGCCTCCCATGTATACTTTCTCCTGGTGGACTGACCGCTGCCCATTCTCTACTCTCCCACCCTGGCCTAGCCCACCACTCTCCTAACTGGGCTCCTCTTTCCTCTCATGACCCTTCTCTCCCATGGCTTATGTGTGTTTGAGGTAGTGTTCGACATTTCAACAATGAGTGACCATTCATATGTGGTGTTGTACTATCCAGTGCGCAGAGTAAAGACGCGGGTTTATTCAGGCCACGTGCAGAGGAGGGGAGGAAATGTAGCACTGTGTTCTCACCCAAACGGTCTCATTTTTCTGAGTATCAAGAATAAAACGAAACTAGACTTGCAGTATTCTGGCTGAAAACTTAGCCTTAGCCTATATCTTAAAGGGTTTCTTTAAGTGTGGCTTGGTTCCTTGGGAACACTTCCTTCTTTAGCCATAGGTGCCATCAATTTTACTTTCTGTAATGAGACACAGGGACAGGCCCAGAGGGTGTTATTGTCTCTCAGGCTCAGGAGCACTCTCATATATCATGGGGCTTCCATAACTTTGTGGAAGTTTTTCATTATAGTTGAATGCCACTTTTCATGAATTGTTTGAAACTTCAGTGGTTCTCAACCTTCCTAATGCCGTGACCCTTTAATGCAGTTCCTCGTGTTGTGGTGACCCCCCAATCATAAAATTATTTTCGTTGCTACTTCATAACTGTAAGTTTGCTACTGTTATGAATCAGGTGACCCCTGTGAAAGGGTTGTTTGACCCCCAAAAGGGTTGAGACCCACAGGTGGAGAACCGCTGTCTTATAATAAGTGCCTGACCACATGCTAAAATTTCATAGAAGACAGAGAAGCCTGGGAGAAAGTGGTCAGAGAGTACCTTTGAGTTGTCTGTCTCACAAAGTTCCTGTTACTACGACCTACCCCAACTTAGTAGTAATTGTTTTAGATTAAGGCATTTGTTTCTCCAGTTAATTACACATGTTTTGGAAACAGAGTCCCTGTGTGGTACAAATTGTTAACTTGCTTGCTGCTCAATGAAAGGCTGTTTGTTCAAGTCTACCCAGAGGCACCTTGGAAGAAAGGCCTGGTGATCTATTTCCAACAAAATCAGCCACTGGGGAGGGACCAGAGAGCTCGG